CATAAAAGGCATGGATTTTTGTTGCTACGATGCTGAATATGTAGACTCGGTCGTTTTTACGGGAACGAACCACCCAGCAACGCGGGTTAAGCGTTGACTTATCCCTACTTAGGCTTTGGGATAAAATACCCCAGACTGGATTCTGGTGTTTTTTTCAATCGGTGAAAGACTAAACCGGCAACACGTGTTAGGCGTTGACTTATCCCTACTTAGGATTCGGGATAAAATTTCCCATGCATAAAAGGCATGGATTTTTGTTGCTACGATGCTGAATACGTAGACTCGGTCGTTTTCATGGGAACGAACCACCCAGCAACGCGGGTTAAGCGTTGACTTATCCCTACTTAGGCTTCGGGATAAAATACCCCAGACTGGATTCTGGTGTCTTTTTCAATCGGTGAAAGACTAAACCGGCAACGCGTGTTAGGCGTTGACTTATTCCTACTCAGGATTCGGGATAAAATTCTCCGTGCGTATGAGGCACGGATTTTAGAAGTTTGAAAAAGCGGAGTCTTCTCTTGGGGCAAAGATAAACCCGATGCGGGAGAGGAAGAATTTTACATTCTATCTCCCAAAGCTGAAGAGGAAGAATTTTATATTCTATCTCCAGTTACAATTGAAAACTCAAAGTGGGATCTCCACTTCAAGAATCCGAGAAGGTGAAACTAAGAGTGGGATCTCCACTCCGAGAATTAAAAAGATTCGGATAATCCTAACTGTCGGAAGGTTTGATTATCGAACTAAAGATGAATTTCTCGTTTATCGAGAGTGAATTCTGGTTTTGTTTCTTACTGTAGGAAGGTTTGACCAAGCGAGAGTTTGAGGTGACCCTAACTGTAAGAAGGTTTGATCACTCGATTTGAAAGTGGACCTCTCGTTCATTGGAGGAATCGAGAGGGGATTTTGATTGTGGTCCTAACTGTAGAAAGGTTTGACCAAATGGACAGTGGGAGTGGGAGTACAAATCACAATGTGAGTGTTGACTTGTACAAATCACTCAGTAGGGGTTCTTAGTGTCAAGTGATAAGGACTTAATACGAAGGGGTTTGATAATTCGTCAAAGATTGACAGATGATAATTCCAAGAATTATATCCGGACTCTAACCATGAAAGTGTTAAGTGCATGAACATAGCGGAAGTTCGAATGAATTAAACCAGAAAGAATTTCGGTGATCCCATCGTCGGTTAGTCTGATCGATGGGGGATTTTTGTGGTGGTGGCGACTGTGAGTCGTCGAACACCAATGGAAGTTTTGTGAGAGAAGATTGATCCAACGAAGTGATCGAATCTCATCTCAGCAAGAGAGTGTTCGGAAATCACAATGGGTTTAGTGTTTATCACTTTATTCATAATGATCGGGTTATCCCTAAGAAAATTACATGTAACATTCTTCCGGGAACTTCCTGTTACATGAATCATCCACCCCCAGCTTCTTTCGTGAAACTGGGTCTAATATTATACCGAGTTACATGATCGGGTTATCCTTAAGAATATTACGTGTAAAAATTCTCCAGGAACTTCCCGTCAACGGTAGGAAACAGTTTAGACTCATATACCAATTGGAGTATCAGGGAGCAGTTTAACCTTTTATACCGGTCGGAGGATTAAGAAGCAGTTTATGCTCTTATACTTGTCGGAGTGTTCATTCGGCTCAATTGAGCGATATAACGCAGGCTTCAACCAATGTTTGAATGCTATTCTTGAGAGCAAAGCAATCCTTGGTGGGATGGAGGATCCTCCTGTGATACGCACAGTATTTTGGATCCACGATGTTATCAGCTTCCTCCTGATTTACGACAGGTGGCAGCTTGATCTTGTTGTTTTCAAGGAGAGACTCGAAGATGGCTGGAACGTCTTCGTCCTTGAAGGAGTACTCTTTTTGGAGTCTCGGATCCGAAATCTTTTGCTGCCTTCGGGGTTGTTGCGATGTCTGATTAACGTCTACAACCGCTGCATGTGCCTTTCCTTTACCACGGGAGGCAAAGTTTGAGTTCGGAAGATTCGCCGTCGGTTGGCTCCTCTCGGCTTTCTTCCTTCGGAGGAAGCGTTCGGCCCGCTCTCCGCGCGTCTTCAACTCTTTCCAAGTGTTGGACGGTGCGACTCCCATAACTTCTAATATCTCAATAGATAGGTTGTTATGACATGTCTGGAGGATGAAGTCCTCCGTGATCGGATCTCGGCAGTTCATTGCTTTATTCCGAAAGCGTTTGACGAAGTCGTCGACTGTCTCGTCATCTTCTTATTTCTCATCGAAAAATGTCCTGATGGATACCTCATCGTCGTCATCAAAGAAACTGCCAAGGAATGGTATGCTATTGAGTCCCACTCTCTTGGATATGGACATGGAATGCCAGTCCTCTTTACCTCTTGAGCAGACATTAGAGCGTTGATTTTGCTCTCGAGATCTTTCATTTTTTCATCCTCACTCGTGTCGGGTCTCGGACGATTTGAAAGAGGAATAACACGGCCACCCCCAGCGTTGTCGTCTTTAGTGGGGCCACCCCCAGCGTTTTGGTCAACGAGAGGGTTATCAGGATTAAGACGTTCATCTACATCTGAATCGCTATTTGCTTGGTTAGCAGTGTTGCGACGGCTGGATTCACCAATTTGATTCGACAAAGCTCGGATTTGTTGGTCATGTTCTTCCCTCATCCGTAGCATAGCCATTTCCATTTCGATCTTGAATGCCTCTTTCTGTTTGGCCAAGGCATCCTCAACCATTTTAGCTACCTGCTCGGTGTTGATCATGAACACTTCGTGAGATTGTCCTGGGCTAGATACCATATTGTCAGAAGCGACTGCAGAGTTAGCATCCGATACTTCATCATCCGAGGATAACCCTCTCTGCATTCTTTGGTAGTCCCTGCGTCTAGTGGTCCCTGATCGCAACCGGGTTAGACGATGCGATACAAGCGGGTCAGAGCTAGAAGGTCGAATTGATTTTCCCTTATCAACCATATTGATGGTAACCTCTGGGGGTTCGTCACCTTGAACGACCGATCGTTTCTTACGGAGGCGCTTTAGATTAGACTTATCCTTTCCGTTGGAGATCCTCTCAAATACCGAGACCCTCTGCGGAGCGGTCTTGGGGAAGCTACACGCTGATAATACTGCCCTGATAAGTTCGACGTATGGGCAGTGAGATTTTGTTTCTCGGGTATATCTCTTCTGAGACTTGTTCATACCCCTAGCCCGATAGTACAACTCATCGGTCAGATGACCGGAGCAACCTATCGTACGTTGACATAACTCCCCAAGTATAACATTGTCATCGTCAGATGAATACGTTTCTTTCAGGGGATTTGCCGCTTTATCAGCGTTCTCAAGAGTCACATGTTTAGAACTACACTTTTGGGAGCGCAAGATCTCAACAGGCTCCTGGTTTTGAATACACACCCCCAGACGGGTGGAAACTGGAGTTTTCCTTTTATAAGAAGGCTTGTTATTGTTGAGAGGGCGTGTGCGACCCCCAGCTCGACGAGTTGCTCGGGGTTCAGTCACCGGACCCAAACGTTCTTTACTCAGAACTTTGCCTCGATCCTCTTGCAAAGGACCCAGGCGATCGACTGTCTTCACCTTGAATCGGGACAAATCCACACTGTCACAGTGCTCCGTCGGAGGTGCGGAACTCGAAGGGATCGACGTAACCGGTACAGAACGTCTTATGTCTCGACCCTGGCGCTGGTCAGATTTGAGTGACCCGCGGGTTGGAGGGTCGGATCCAGGTGACCCGCGATTTGGAAGGTCGGATCCAAGTGACCTGCAAAGTGGAAGGTCGGATCCAAGTGACCTGCGATTTGGAAGGTCAGATCCAAGTGACCTGCAAATTGGCGGGTCAGATTGGAGTGACCTGCAAATTGGCGGGTCGGATTGGAGTGACCTGCGTTTTGGCGGGTCGGATTGGAGCGACCTGCGTTTTTGGCGCGCCGTCGGCATTGGGCAGTTGACCTGCAAATCCGGCGGGCGTCGGCATTGCGATGTGGACCTGCCAAAGATCGCGCGGGCGTTCCGCGAATTGGGAGTGACACTGGCAAATTGCCGCGGTTCGCGATTGAGAGTTGGGACCCGCCGCTTAAAAACAAAAAGAAGATTGTCGCTTTGCCTTCCTTAGGGCATACCTTCTCATCGAAGAACCTAAACTTGTGGCATGCATATCCTGGAGGAAGGGTGAGAGGAAGAAGGAAGGGGCTACTTTCCTCATGCGGGGGTAGGTCATCGTGAATGAATGGGTCTCTTGCAGCTTTCGTCACGTGGGAATGGTCCTTTTAGCGAGTTTAGTTCCAGCAGGTAAAGGTGCTTATGAGTAGGTGCGTGTGCATTAGGAGCTTGAGGTAAAGGAAGGCTTTAGCTAGAGCATAGTATTCAAGCTGAAAAGATAATTGAAACACGGGATTTCTTTGTAGTTTTAGAACATAGTTGGTTTTCGTGAGCAGGTAGAGGGTTCGTGAGCAGAGGTGAATTTGTGCGGCTGCAAAAGAAAAACGCAGAAGTTAGGGGAGATTTTGAGCAGTCCTTTTTTATAGTCTGTTTGTGTGATTTCTTGGGTGGGCCGAAATTGGGCTTGCCGCTTTGCCTTTCACGCGGTAGCTTCCCCACGTGCTTTGCTGCTCAATGTTGTGACCCCCACACGCGCACACCCTTTGCTTTACTCCGCTCTCGGCTTCATTCACGTGGTGGCCCCTCCACGTTCACAGTTGATTCTAAATGAATTTCCTTTTTGAGTAAGGATATGGGCTAAATTTTTGCCCAATAAATGGTGGTGTGTAGCTCAGTTCCATCTTTACCAAGTGTCAGATATGTATTCGATGTTCTGGCGTGTGGCTAAGTTCCCCTTGTTAGCTTATTTTTTTGAGTTACATGCAATATGCCGAATAAATAAAATCCAAATTCACTCTTATTAAAAATTAACCACATATTTCATTGTTCATATATACTCCCAGTAAACTTGTTTTTCTTCTCTTAATTATATAATTTATCCAACATGTTCATGTTAATGATAGGTTGACGAAGAAAGGAAGCCTTTGAATCCAGAGAGAGATTATTCTACCATGCCAATATCTACCAATGCCTCCAGTGCAACCTCACCACAGATGGATGTGCATTATACGTATATTTCATCTTTTACATGCTTTATATCTCATTTCTTGATAGGTTAATTGCAGATAAACTCTATCTATATATTGAGTTATTACTTAAGTTATTTATAAACTTTCTTACTAGCACATAGATTTCCTGATTTTCAAACAGAGTTATCTCTTTGTTATTTGTACTCACTCCACGGTGAATGCAAACAGGATCTTTCTGACGTAACAAAGTTGCAGGATCCACTCACATGACCCTTCACATAGAGGGTAGTAAGTAACGAGTAGATAACTCCGTTTGGAGATTAGGTGATTAAAGTACTAATAAAAAGTCCAGGAACAATAGTGGTTAACTCTATACAATACAACGAGTGTATCTGCAATTAACTCTTTTATGTAATTGAATATGGACCTTATGGTAACAATCTCATGTTATGTATGGTTTTAAATAAATTAAATAGGTCAGCAAGGTCACTGGCTAACAGTGGTAGCTCTCCTTATGGAGGAGCTTCGTATCTGAGAACAGCCAGGAGCGGTCCATCAGACTTCGGTGCAGCTCTTCACGACTCATCTGAGGAGGAGGATGAGCATGATTACAGGCCCATCAGAACCAAACCTAAGACGATAGTCTCACACTCGGTAAATATACATTTCTCATTGAAAAAAAGTAATGTCTTGTTAAAAAAAGAAGTACACGAGTTACCGTTTTTCTTTGATGCATCATTAAGGTGTGGGACACATCAAGTTTTTATAATCCACTTCACTAATATATTCAGATCATAACATATTTGGATAATAGTTGTTGATCTGAGTACGTATCACATTAGTGACAATGTAACTTAAGACATATCAGTCATTGTTATAAGTAGTATTTCTTTTTACTAAATAAAGCTCAAGCCAGCCCATTTATTAGAACAGGTTTATATCGTCTTTGTAGGGTCCAGTAGTTGCCCTATCCTGTCAAGCTTGGATTGTCTTTGATCCGTTTGATTGTGACTCAGAGCTTTATATTTTGTTTACTGTAGAAATAAACAAGGTAACAAGTAAAAGATTCCCAGACAGAAAATGCTAATCAATTATCAGTTTGGATTTCTGCATTTTATTTCATTTTTAATGATTATTTTATTTTTTGAAACCATGCCTTTCTTAATAATATTTTCGCCATAGAATATTTTAACTATTTTTCTGGTTGTACGTGACCAAAATAGAATATTTTGGCTTTGCCTCCAACTCTCTCTCTATTAATTTGTTTATAAATGACAACTTGGACTGATATGAATAGGCTGCTAGGTAGAGGACAGATATATGTCCTGTCTTCATACAGAATACTCTGTGAATCTGGATAAGCTTGAGTACTCCACCTTTATCTTTTTAACTTGATAAGATTGCTGAAGTCCATATGTATTTGTTTACATTACAAAATTTAATTCACATTTGTTAACCTCTGTTAAGGATGTGCACAAATAGAATTAATTAAATGAAAAATTATGACCAATACTTGATATATAGCTTTGTAGAGAATAAAAAAAACCCTAGTTATTATTTATTGAGATAATAAGAGAGATATATATAGCCATACAAATAGGGTTAAGGTTAACGGGTAACAACCCATTAACCCAATACTTAATACTTAATTTAACACTCCCCCTCAAGCTGGAGCATAGATGTCTACCATGCCCAACTTATCACATATAGTATAGAACACCTTTGAAGAAATAGCCTTGGTAAGAATATCAGCAACTTGCTGTGAGGACAGAGTGAATATGAGAGATACTATCTTCTTCTCCCAAGCATCTCTGACAAAATTGCAATCAACTTCAATATGTTTTGTCCTCTCATAAAACACAGGATTCTGTGCAATATAAATGGTAGATTGGTTGTCACAATGCATTGGCATAGGTCCAGGCTGAACAAAACCAAACTCTGTCATAAACTTTCGTAGCCACACCATCTCACAAGCAGTGTGAGTCATTGCTCTATATTCGGCCTCTGCACTAGATCGTGATACTACATCTTGTTTCTTGCTTCTCCAAGTCACAAGATTACCTCCAACAAAAGTACAGAATCCTGAGGTCGACTTTTGATCTCCTATGTCTCCTGCGTAGCCAGCATCAGAGAAAGCCAAAATGTGAGTATGCCCATGCTTCTTATATAGCAACCCCTTGTCAGGACAACTCTTGACATATGCCAAAATCTTCAGAGCTACTGTCCAATGAACCTCTCTAGGTTTGTGCATAAACCTGCTCAGTACACCTACTGCAAAGGTAATATCAGGTCTGGTAACTATCAAATATATTAGCTTTCCAATCGGTCTCCTATATCGTCCAGCATCATCTAGTAGCGAGGTATCATCACACCACAAATCAATATTTACCTCTATTGGAGTGCTTGCAGGTTTACATTCCAAGAGACCTGCTTCTTCTAGTAAATCTAGCACATACTTTCTTTGGGACAACAACAAGCCATGTTTTTGATATGTAACTTCAATCCCAAGAAAATACTTTGGCTTTCCCATGTCCTTAGTGACAAAATAACGGTTTAGATACTCCTTAGTCTCAGTTAAGGTAACAGAGTCACTCCCAGTCAGCAGAATATCATTAATATATACAACTAAAATAACCAAACCAGTTGTTGTGCGTCGAAGAAAGACAGAGTGATCAGGCTGACAGCATTGGAAACCAACACTAAAAATAACCTTGCTAAACTTATCAAACCAAGCTCGAGGACTCTGCTTTAACCCATAGATGGCCTTCCTCAGCCTGCAGATAATATTTCTCCCCTGAACAACATACCCAGGATGTTGCTTCATATAAATCTCCTCGTCCAAATCACCATAAAGGAAAGTATTCTTCACATCTAGTTGGTGCATCACCCAATCCATATTAACAGCCAGAGAGAAAAGAATTCTGATGGAGTTAAGACGAGAAAAGGGAGAAAAAGTTTCAAAATAGTCGACGCCATATGTCTGGGTATAACCTTTAGTAACCAGACGAGCTTTATATCGGTCAACAGATCCATCAGGGTGATATTTCAAGGTATACACCCATCTACAACCAACCATAGTAGCTCCAGTAGGAAGAGAGACCAAGTCCCTCTAGAAAGCAGTGCACTCATTTCCTCATCCATAGCCTGCTTCCAAGCAGGTACTAACATAGCTTCCTCATGTGACCTGGGTATAGATACAGTGGACAAAGACAAGACAAACTGACGAAAAGATGGGTTGAGACGGTCATAAGAGACAAAAAAGAGAGATAGGATATTTCGGGCAAGACCGTATACCTTTGCGAAGAGCAATAAGAATATCCAAGTCGGAAGGAATAGAAGTCTCAACATGGGATGGACCGGCAGCTGGAGATGAAGGTCCAGCAGGGTCAGAGGCAGGAGCATGTACTTTTGGGCGGCGAGAATATGTCAATAGAGGCTTCGGTGCAGGAGCTACAGGAGCAGGTAATGGAAATAGTAGTAGGAGCAGAAGAAGGTAGTGATACCTGTGGATAACCAATAGTAGTGGAACCAGAGGAAAAATATGGGACAGACTAAAAAAAAGTAGCATCAGCAGACACAAAATATTTCTTGGTGGACGGATGATAACACCTATATCCTTTTTGAGTACGAGAGAATCCAACAAAAACACATTTGATGGATCTAGAAGACAACTTATCCAAACCAGCTGTTAAATCCTGAACAAAATACGTAGAACCAAAGATACGGGGAATCATAAAAAATTGTTTTTTATCAGAATAAAGACAATTGAATGGTATTAAACCATCAAGGACAGAGGATGGCATGCGATTAATCAAATAATTGGCAGTGAGAACAGCATCAGGCCACAAATACTTTAGAATATTCATATGTATCATCAATGTTCTAGCAACATCTAGAATATGTCTATGCTTCCTCTCAGCAACTCTATTTTGTTGTGAAGTATGAGAGCAAGAAGTCTGATGAATAATGCCATTAAGAGCACAAAATTTTAAAACGTCACTTTTCATATATTCCAAAGTATTATCAGTACGAAGAATATGAACAGAAGTAGAGAGCTGGGTTTTTATTTCATTATAAAAGAGTTCAATAACGTGCGAGACCTCTGACCTGTCTTTTAACAAATAAAGCCACGTCATGCGAGAGAAATCATCAACAAAAATAATAAAATATCAAAAACCTTGCACAGAGGGAACACGATAAGGACCCCAGACATCAGAATGAACCAACTTAAGCAAAGCTACTGTGTTTATTAACACGACTCTGAAAGCACAATGGTGCTTACACAGTTCACACGACTCACAACCTAAAGAGGAAATAGAAGGCTGAATAGAAACTACCGATCTAAGTTTTTATAGTGAAGGATGACCCAGACGTTAGTGCCACAATAAAGTAGAGTCAGCCTGTGATGTAACAAGACCAGCCTCTGGCACACTATCGTCCAAATAGTACATACCTCCTCTCTCATGCCCCGAACCAATCGTCATCCCAGTTGCTAGGTCTTGAAAAACACAAAAAGATGGAAAGAAGGAGACTTTACGATTTTTTTGTTTTGTAAACTTGCTAATGGATAATAGGCTAACAGGGAATTTGGGAACATATAACACATTAATTAGTTTTAAAGAGGAAGTAGCATGAACTACTCCATCACCACGAATTGGAGAAAGAATACCATCAGCAATGCAGATAGAGGGAAACTTATCAGAAAGATGTAAATATAAAAAATGATCCTTTATACCTGTCATATGGGATAAGTGATACAGGTGTATCTTCTCTTCAGAACTTAACAATTCTTATGGGAGCTTGAGGATAGATGATTCTCATGGTAACTTAAGAATAGAGGTGTAAAATAACACAGTGGAACGCAGGTTGAAGCGTGGAACGAGACGGCGAATTGAAGAATCAAATCATCTAGTTTTTAGCCCGTGAGTCGACTCATACATGTACATGAGTCGACTCATCAGGTTGAGTCGACTCATCAGGTTGAGTCGACTTATGCCTGTCATGAGTCGACTCATGAAACCTAGCCGTTTTGTCAAAAGTTTCTGACCAGTCGCCTCATGCCTCTTATGAGTCGACCCATGTTTCATGAGTCGACTCATATATGCACATGAGTCGACTCATCGATGGTTTCCTGGTTCGTTTGGGTTTCTGTTTGTACGAATTCATGTGGGGTTTGAGCTTAGTTATTTATCACTTTACCATCCACGTTGTTACACCTATATAAGGGATTGTTTTAGGGTTTCTAAAGAATCAAATGTAATCAAAGAGAGATTCTAATCAAGAGAGATTAGGGTTAGAGAGAATTGAGAGTTTGTTCTCGATTCTAGTGAGATTGTGAGAGAGGGATTGTAATCTTTTCATACTCATAATCTAGAGAGGGTATTTTCCTTCGCCACATACTGAATTATTCTTGTGTTTCTGTCATCCTCTTCTCAACCCACCTTTGATAATTCTACGATCAAAGGTGCTCGCACGACGACTCGTATCAAGTTAGTATCAGAGCAATCAGATCCTGTGAAGGAGGCATCCTGTGTATGGTCCTAATTCGATCGCAATACAAGAAGCTAGGCGAGATCCTTATTTCACTGGAAGGAGTCCAGAAATTAAGGAAGGAGAAGATGACTGAAGGGGATAATTCAGCAATACTTGATATAATGAAGAAGCAGATCGAGACGATCGGTTCTACACTCAATCAGCTCGTAGGTCTCATCAATGGAAATGACAAAAAGGATGAATCTTCTTCGAAGGGTAAGAAGAAGCTCGAAGAGTCCGATGGAGAGGGTGAGAAAACTGTTTCTGATAAGGAGGCCAAGATTGTTAAGACTGTTCCACATCAAGGGGGTAAGAATTACCACCATAATTTGAAAATTAATTTTAAGGTGGATATTCCTGTTTATGATGAGAGTGTCAATATGGAGAAGCTCGATGATTGGATCGAGCGTATGGAGATGTATTTCACTCTCTATGGATATTCATCCAAGGAGAAGATTGTGTTCACAACTTTGAAGCTTTTAGGGCATGCATTGACTTGGTGGAAATCCTACTGAAGTAAGAGAAAAAGGCGGTGTCGTGGAATAAGTTTAAGGAGCTACTGAGAAAGCAGTTCTATCCAGTGGGGTTCCTTGAGGAGTGTTGGTGCAAGTGGTATGGCTTGCACCAAAGATTCAATCAGACCGTTCAAGAGTACACGACGGAGTTCTAGCAGCAGGCGATGGTTCTAAACGTCATGACGGACGAATACTCTATCTTCATGAAGTACATGGCGGGTCTGGACGAATACATCCGGAAGGAGATGAAGCTATTCACGGTCGAGTCTATTGCAGAGGCAAGAGTGAAAGCTATTGCCATCGAGGGCAAGCAAAAGAAGAGCAACAAGGCAAAAGGAGATGCAAAACAGACGGGAGGTGAGTTTAGTAGTTCCAAATATAAGGAGGAGAAGAAGGATGATCCAGGGAGAGCAAAACTGATTTATAGTCACTGCGAAAAGATAGAACATATCGCTGATCGATGCTGGGAGAAGTATCCTCATCTGAATCCAAAGGCATACGTGATAGCACATGGTCCGAAGGAAGTTCCTAGGATGACAGAGCCCAACAGTAGTCACAATCTTATGGTAGGGAAATAGGCCACGAAAGATGACGAAGACCCCCGAGAGCAGCTCTTTGCGCTGAAGTTGTAAGTGAAGACCAGTTTGGTTAATGTCATTGTTGATCCAGACAGCGAAAAGAATTTGATATCCGAGGCCTTGGTTCAGAAGCTGGCTCTAAAGACAGTCAAGCATCTGAAACCCTATCCATTAGGGTAGATTCAGAAGGAGACGGGACTAAGTGTAGTTGATCAATGCACTGTCAGATTTGCGCTCCACGAGTCATATATTGACGAGGTCAAGTGCGACATCATTCCATTGGATGTTTGTTAGGTTATACTGGGCAATCCGTATTTGTGGGATAGATACGCGATCTATGAAAGGCGGGCTCAGAAATACACATTCACCAAGGATGGTGAAAAGTTCATATTTTGTTTGGCGTCTCTTCCGAGGGAGGCAAACTTGGCGATGGTGACGCGAGCGAAGAGGTTAGTGAATGCAAGCAAGAAGTTTGTCTCGCTGTGCATTAGACTTCATGATGAGCCATTAAAAGGAGTTTCATGTTGGAGCGGAAGGCGACTACGATGAGGCGAGGAACGAAGGAGTCATTTCCAGTTGTACGTTGATATCAGGTTCCTAGCAAGGCCAGGTGGTACAGAAAGGAAGGAGGAGCTCGCGAGTTTCCTTAGCTGAAGTTCTAACTTGAATAGGACTTCAAGTTCTTAAAGGGGGAGCCCATGATACGAGTGCATCTTCTCTTTAGAACTTAGCCATTCTCATGGGAGCTTGAGGATAGATGATTCTCAGCCATTCTCATGGGAGCTTGAGGATAGATGATTCTCATAGTAACTTGAGAATAAAGGTGTAAAACAACACGGTGGAACGTAGGTTGAAGCGTAGAACGAGACAGCGAATCGAAGCATCTAGTTTTTAGCCCGTAAGTCGACTCATATATATACATGAGTCGATTCATCAGGTTGAGTCAACTCATACATGTCATGAGTCGACTCACGAAACCCAGCCGTTTTGTTAAAAGTTTCTGACCAGTCGACTCATGCCTGTCATGAGTCGACCCATGTGTCATGAGTCGACTCATATATGCATATGAGTCGACTCATTGATGGTTTCCTGGTTCATTTGGGTTTCTGTTTGCATGAATTCCTATGGTGTTTAGGCTTGGTTATTTACCACTTTGCCATCCACGTTGTTACACCTATATAAGAGATTGTTTTAGGGTTTCTAAAGAATCAGATGTAATCAAAGAGAGATTCTAATCAAGAGAGATTAGGGTTAGAAAGCATTAAGAGTTTGTTCTCAATTCTAGTGAGATTGTGAGAGAGGGATTGTAATATTTTCATACTCATAATCTAGAGAGGGTATTTTCCTTCACCACATACTGAATTATTCTTGTGTTTCTATCATCCTCTTCTCAACCCACCTTTGATAATTTCGCGATCAAAGGTGCTCGCATGGCGACTCGTATCAATGAGGCTCCAGAATCTAGTACCCAGGGTTTGTGAGAAGAAGCAATGTAAGCATCCATACCTGAATAGGATGCATGAGTAGCAGAATGAATGTTCTGAGAGAGATCTAGCTGGCGTAACCTCTCATAATCTGACTGAGAAATCTGAACAGTGGGAGCAGTAACAGCTAGACCACTAGAAGTAGTAGCAAAAATAGACGAGTGAGTCGACTCGGTGTCAGCTACATGGGCCCACTGAGGACGACCAAACTTCTCTCAGCACTTCTCAGAAATATGATTGGTTCTCCTACAGTGACCACAATGACATGAGACTTTATCAGATTCACCTTGTCTCCCACCAAAGGAGCCACGTCCTACCCCTGAATCACGGCCACGACCACGATCACGACCGTGGCCTCTGCCTCGACTAGAGAACATGGCAGACTGATCCATTATAGGTTGAGACGGTGCAGTAGTAGCAGAAGTAACACCAGTAGAGACCTGCATGACTCTGGAGAATGTAGTAGTCAGTAAGGGAATGGTATCTCCACCCAATATCTGTCCCCTCACATGGGCCTGTAAATTAGGGTGCAATCCAGAAAGAAATTTGGATACTGCCAGATCGCGTCGATACCCCCAACAACGTTGTTACATCAGCTACTACAGGCTGATGCATCTCTAGTTCGTCTATCAGTCCCTTCAACTCACCAAAGAACTTCGGAACCAACCTGTCTCCCTGTTTGAGCGCAAATAGTCTCTCATAAATCTCAAATACACGGGAAACATTCTTCTCATTCTCGTACATAATCTTCAGGCTGTCCCACATTTCCTTCGTAGTGGTTAAAAACATAACGCTGCTAATGATCTGTGTTTCTATACTGTTGAGAAGCTAAGTCATAACACAATAATCAGATGAGAGCCATAAAGTGTAGGCGTGATCTGAGGTGGGTGGTGGAGATGCCAGAAGATGTGGGTGTTTGCTCTGAGCGCCAATGAAGATGCGGAAAGCTGGTGCCCAGAGCAGATAGTTTGTATCATTCAATTTAATTATAGTCCCCAAGACTACCTTGGGCGCAGAGGTCTCTCTAGCAACAACAGAAGGAGTAGTATAGGAGGAGATATCCGACATCAAAGTAGTAGTCATTTTTGCACAACAATAGTAGATAGACATTAGTCAAATAGGCAGTGTAGTAGTAGAGATCTGCCATTGAAACATAAACTAAGAGAAGGTCAGGAGCAGGATGATGATATTTTAGCCGGACATATACCATATCTGAAAAACATAAGAGGCAGAGTAGTAGATAGTCACATCCTCACGCCGTGGAGGCAATATCACCTGAGGGAGAGAGCCCTGGCTTCTGTTTGCACAAAGGCTCAAGTTAAACTCTATATTCTCGTTTCTCGAAGGAAACAAGAATAGAAGTAAAATTCTCGTTTCTCAAAGGAAAAAAGAATAGAAGTGAAATATCTCAACAAGGTGAGATATACACCCTTCCTCTCATCAGTTCTAGAACTGAAATGTCGAGGGAATAGTTAACACTATAATAACAGTGTCAACGGCAAGCAACAAACAGGCGGCAATGCAGCCACTGTAGCGGCAGCACTGTAGCGGCGACGGCTAGTGGCGGCGGCAAGGAGAAGAGGCGGCGGTGGCTGGGGTTTTTGAATGAGGATTTGTGGCGGCTAGGGTTTCATGCTCTGATACCATATAGAGAATAGAGAAAACCCTAGTTATTATTTATTAAGATAATAAGAGAGATATATATAGCCATACAAATAGGGTTAAGGTTAACGGGTAACAGCCCATTAACCCAATACCCAATACTTAATTTAACAAGCTTAAATTTTTTCCCCTTCTTCTTTGCAGGTTGGTTATGGAACCTTTGTCATAGGTTCTGCAGGTTTGCCATTTAAAGCTAAAGCTCTGATGGAAAGACAAATGAACTTTTATGGAAAAAATATTATACAGGTATGTAATTACGTACCAAATATATAGGTACGCTAGTTGTATATACAAGTACTAATTACTGTATTTCAACTGCAGCGGGAAATAATGAACTGCTTGATAGCTAACTCTTATGGGATGATATTCGGATGGATTATGGCAGCAATATATATGGGTGGTCGTTTGCCTCAAATATATTTAAATGTAAGCACATAAGCTATAAAACATGACTGACTGTCCTGAATATGGTCAAGCATGTTGTTATATATATACTCATTAATTTTTTGTTTGCCATACTTGTCAATCAGATTAAGCGTGGGAATGTCGAGGTATAGCTTTCGTTAACCTTTCCTAATCTTATGGTTTAGTGTGACCGCTATGGATTACCGTTTATTGAGATTTTGACGTGTCTCTAGAAATTGTGCAGGGCTTGAATCCACTTATGTTCGTTTTTGCGCTCACCGCAAATGCGACTTATGTTGGAAGGTCTCTCTCTCTCTCTCTCTCTTAAATAAACATACTAATCATCTCATTTATGATTCTAGCGTACTTAATTATTTAGTACACAGCGGTTAATTAGAGTGCACTAACGTGGTACACATCCATCCTACTAGAATTCTCAGATCATCAAATTACCCAATTGCGAATAAAACCCGGCCAGTTGCTCTATTAATGCTGCAGAATATTGACACCCAACGCCCAATTGCGGATAGGCCCCTCTGGATGAATTAATCGTTTTTTTGACACTTTCACCTTTAGAAGGTCTACTCGTCAAAAACTGGAGGATAAAAGAGTCAAAAAAGTTCACTTAGAGGATCTATTCGAAACAATGTAACTACAAGGGCCTTCCGCAATTGGGCGATAGCGTAGAATGACATCCAAAATTAACACTTTATTTACATGATTTAGTTTGCTGATAAATTGTAACATGAAAATTTTCTCACATTACTGAACATTGGATGCAGCATTCTTGTGAGGAGTGTGGAATGGGACAGGTTGAAAGCAAACGCACCATGGTTACTTGACGCCATAGTTTGCGTGCTACTAGACTTACTCGTATCCTTCTCATCGTATAATTTTATATCTACATTTTTGTACGTTTTGAGGTTACTTAGAATAGTTGACCCTCTCTCATGTTAATTCCTTAATCAGTATTTTAATACAGATCATTATCCAGTTTGCATACTATAAACTCAGGTGGAGAAGAATCGACAACTATAGAGTTGAGTATGAAAGTTTGAATGAGAAAAAGCTCCTCGTATGAGTCGTATATAAGATAGGGAGGCAGCGCATGTATTTGTAGTGAATTGATTTGATAAAGAGAGGTAACTGTTCCTTTCTGCAATTTGTATCTTGATGCAAGGAGAAGTGGTTAGATTGTACTAATATTAGGAGCCAGATATTTAGTGATTGGGTTTTATGAGTTAGGCCATTTAGTTAGCCTTTCCTGCCATCCACAATTTATATCAAGCTTCTTAAATGAGATTTTTTTTGGTTTTGTGTGTGTGGTGTGGGGGGGTGGGTAAGATCCTCTCCTAAGAAAAAACAATGATCCAATCATAATCTAATTGAACTAAAAAAATCATTTCCAAGATGATTCAACATGAATTCCGAATTACTCTAAAGCAATCTCAATCAAGAGTCGAATTTTATTGATAAACTCTTCATCAAGAAAATCATACAAATCCTTACCTGTCTTACCCTAATGGAACTGACTATATATAGCATTAAGATACAATGAAAACTTTCTAATCAATTCTTCGTAAAAAAATAATTCCTAACAGACTTAAATTTTTCTAATAAAAAGATAATTCTAATAGACTCCTGCTTTGACTCAAATTCCAATCTTATGCAAACTCTTGTAATCATGAATCACCCTATCCGGTACTCTTAGGGGCTGTTTGGTTGCACACTTTTTGAGAAAACTTTTCTCAAAACATCTGACAATGGCAAATTTGTAATTAAAAGTTTTCCAGAGATTTCTGTAAATTGTGTTTGGTTTAACAAAAAATTTACAGAAATATTTTCTATAAAATATCAAAACCTACCAAATTTTACAAAAAGCAATTTCCTTTCAAAATGAGAGGAAATCACCAGAAATCTGACACATACCATATTTAATTAAAAACCTACCAAATCTTGTTATTTTCTATAAAGTTATGAGCTATTTTCTTGTTTTGAACCAAACAAGCAAAGTACAAAAAACAAGAAAATTGGTACTTTTTGATTTCTCAAAACTTTTCCTATAATTTTTTTAAGAAATACAAGGAAATCATATTTTAGGTGGAAAACATTTCCTATAATTTCTAGAAATTGAACCAAACACCCCCTTATGCAATGTAAGCTCAAGAATCATCTCATTCTCCCCTCCTTTGAAACTGCACTTGTCCTCAAATGTAAATTCTGGAAATATCTTCCTAAGCTTGTCATAATCCTCCCATGTGGCCTCATCCATAGATAAACCCTTCTAGTGTATCAACACCTACCAAATCCTTTCCTTAGTATGTCTTTTCATCCAACTCCTTTAGCGAATCGCCTCCTTAGGCATCAGCCTCATATGCCTCTAAATCAAATAAGGGTAATTCACCAACAATCAAGCTAGAATCACCTACCTTCCTTTTCAGCATTGTCACATGAAAAACTGGATGCAACAATGATGACTCGGATAACCACAACCTATCTGCATAATTCGTAGGCTAACACAATTTTTATCCATTATTATACTTTTTATTTTATTTTTTTGGTCATTAAATTTAGCCTAGTAAGAAACAGGTAAGGAGTGAACTTTTGTACAGCATTATGCTCCCTTTCAGCATTGATTATTTGCACAGTTTAGCAATAAAGTCCAACTGTAGGGATTTTTAGATCTCACAATAACCCCCAAAAAAACCACCAAACGCAGCAAATAAAATCATACAATATTTAAGGAAAATCCTCAACAGGGAAAAACCACGGGATCAAAATCAATCCACTATCATCTTCAAATTATAATCTTTTGCATGGATAAAGACTGTCAAACCCTCTCTTACTCTTTCTCTCTACACTTCTTCTTCTTCTCCTTCTTCTTTTTCCTCTAACAATAGAAGGAATATATATAGAGAAACCAAAACCCTATCTCTAGCCTAACTTCCTAATAAGAATAAGATTCAAGCTCCCAATCATGATGGAACCTAAACTCCCAATCATGATAGATCCCTAATCTTATCTAATTCTCATGAAGTTATACAAAGAATTAAAAACTCTATTCTAACTTGGAGTTTGAGTAGATACCCAACATATCTTCCCTCGACGAAAAATCTCTAAGTGTCTCAACAACTTCAGAAAAACTCACTCTCTTTTTCTTGTTCTTCACCTCTCCCTTGTGGACAAGAGTCTGAGAAAAGTAATCTGCACCATTAACGGGTCGCCTATCTAAATAGCAAATATGATTGCTATTCTTCCTCCCTCGCAAAATCAAATCACCATCTCTATACACATTGCACCATTCTTCTTCACCCACATACTTGTACCCACGTGATGCCATCTCACCCAACGAAATTAAATTAGCACCACATGTCGACACATATCTCACATGATGAAGAATTTCGACCTTCCCAGTGTGAAGCTTGAGACGAACACTTCCAACACCTTCAACCTTCATCTTCTCGTTATTTCCAACAATCACGCCGCCAAATTCTTCATCTATCTTCAATGTATTAAAATAATTTTATTGTTGCAAACGTGTATAGAGGCTGCAGAATCTAGCACCCAAGTGTTACTCGCATCAGTACCTGTACACTACATCAATAAAACCACATCTTCATCACACACAACCACTAAGGAGTCCGTTTTCTTTCTATTTTCTTGAAGCTTCATCTGTCTAATACTCTTCAAATCATCACGCATCTGGGAATATCTGAACTGAATGTGACCATTCTCTCCGTAATAATAGCACTCCTTTTCGCTGTCGTCTCGGGCCTAATATTTTGACCTTTCTCGATAACTATCACATCTCCCCGTACTTCTCCATTTATTAGAACCTTCAAAAGCTAGTGCACTCTCACCACCATTAGATGCGCTCTCCTTTTCAATCATTCTTTTATTCTCACGTATGAGTGCTATCACATTATCGAACTTCAAAGTCTACTTCCCTTCAATTATCATCTGAACTAACGACTTGTACGACTTCGGCAAGGGAGTAACGCCTGCTCTTCTTTAATCTCCTCATCAATATTTATAAGTTGGCAAACTAGTTGATTAAAGGCATTGATGTGGTCTTGAATTGCAGTACCTTTTTCCATCTTCAACGAATAAAGCTCCATCCTCAAACACAATCTATTGATCATCGACTTTGACGCATAAATCCCCTCGAGCCTTTCCCACAGCCCCCTTTGTGTGGTCTATTGCATAATATTATACTTGATCTCGGGAGCGAGTGCCAAACGAATTGTGCTAATCGCCCTTTTTTGTATGGAACTCCATTCAGCATCCTTCAATCCATTAGGTTTTTTCTCCTTCAAAACTTGATCAACACCCTGCTACACAAGAATATCTTGAACCGTGCACTTTCATACTGTAAAATTTGTCTTACCTTTGAATAACAGAATATCAAACTTCAAACCTGAAGAAGTCATCATCCTCTAACCACGATTAAAATTCAAATTAGTCCCTGTAGAAATTAAATTTGATAAAACCGACATTAAAAATGAACTCAACACATCGAAAAACCCTAGGAACGACTCGTGGATCACCAAAATCCTCCTCCAAATCCTTGATCAAAAGATAAATCAAGCTCAACCGTCGAATCTACCGTCGCTACAGTACCCGCCGCTNCCCCCCCCCTCCCCCCCCCGCCGCTACATTACCGTGAACAGTGCATCACCGTGAACAGTTCCGTCGCTACAGTGTCGTGGTGAACAGTGCTATTGCTACAGTTCGTTGCCACCAATGTCGTTGCAAATCTTGAATCTCCACGAACTGTCGAACCCCACTTTGATACCACTTGTAGGGATTTTTAGATCTCGCAAAACCCCCCAAAAAAACCACCAAACACAGCAAATAAAATCACATAAGATTTAACGTGAAAAATCCTCAATAGGAAAAAATCACGGGATCAAAATCAATCCACTATTACCTTCAAATTATAATCTTTTGTACAGACAATGATAGCCAAACCCTCTCTCACTCTTTCTCTCTACACTTCTTTTTCATCTCCTTCTTCTTTTTCCTCTAACAATAAAAGGATATATATAGAGAAATCAAAACCCTATCTCTAGCCTAAATTCCTAATAAGAATAAGATTCAAACTCCCAATCATAATAGAACCTAAACTCCTAATCATGATAGATCCCTAACCTTATCTAATTCTCATGAAGTTATACAAAGAATTAAATAGATCCCTAACCTTATCTAATTCTCATGAAGTTATACAAAGAATTAAAAACTCTATCCTAACTTGGAGTTTGAGTAATTCTCATGAAGTTATACAAAGAATTAAAAACTCTATCCTAACTTGGAGTTTGAGTAGATACCCAACATCAACTTTAGGATTTTCTTTTGCGTGTCAGTCCAAAACTTAGCCAAAGTCTTAACTTATTGCAACCTAGAACTCAAGCATCATAATTATCAACAACTTTTGTTACTGATTTGAGATGCAAGCCTAGAGGGGAGTGAATATGGTTGCACAACTATTTTGACAAATTATAAAATTATCACAAATATGCAACGAAAAAAATAAAATAATAAAACACAGCCATAGAGAAATCATAAACACAAGATATTTTAGAGTGGTTTAGAATGGATTCCTGCTTCCACTCCTCCTTCTCTTGAAGGGACTTCTACACTATATAATATTGTTCACCTAGATTACAAATTCTAATGATCGAAATGATGATGACAGAGCGATCGAATGAGCTTAGTTAGATGATCCAAGGAGATTTAATCTTCAAAGCTTCAAACTCTAGCTCCCCCCACCCATCTCAATTAGTTTAAAAAAGTTGTGTGAAATGACATAGGAGAAGGGGTATCCTAGAAAAATTGAAAGACTGAGATTGAATTCTAAAATCAGTGTGTTAATCATTGACGATCGAATTCGATCAACGATGATTACTTGATCATCAATGATGACATGATGTCATTGATGATTAGAAAGCAACTAGATACTTCTATCATCAATATTTCATGATCCATCGATGATTATATATCTATGATATATCTTATATATAGATTATATACTATATATTTATATTATATAATATATATAATAATTATATATATATGAGAAATATGTTATGTTTGGTATAAAGCATAAAAATTGTGCTTGGTAGTGAGGATGGTATAATCCCCTCCACTCATATTAAATGGATGCATATACCATGCCTTCTCTAACACCATGTGAATGTGACTCCCATTTGAATGAGTGGGAGGGATGTGCCACCTCACTACCAGCACAAAATTTGTGGCTTAGTACCAAGC